CCCCCCGTCCCCCTTTCCAGTGTTGTAACCACGTGACAGCATCGATAAAGCCTGTTTCAACATTGGCTGGGCGTGTGCATGTGTGTACGGATGGGTATTGACGAAAAAGGTGTTTTTTTCCATCGAGCACTTGCAATAACGTAATAGCTTAAGTAATTTGAATAAAACCAAATTCTCGATCCTGATTGGTTCTCAGTACATCCTATCTTTTTATGTACCAGATTTGAGCTTGACTAGCTCAGGCGTCCAATGGAAAGATCTCTAATAACAGTTTCCAATAACGTTCAAATAAAAATCGTTCGTAGAGCGCGCTTTATTGAATGATGATTTGCTCTATATCGTTTAAACGTTCCAGAAATGCACTTTCCCAGCGCGTTTTAGTATTCGTTTACTTGAACTATAGTAAAGAATACTTCCTTTTCTAAAAAAATATTTTTAGGGTATCTACATTTTTATCGCTGCTCATGCTATCAGTGAATGTTGCGCTACAGTGTTGGATGTTGAATCACAACTCCGAGTACCTTAAAAAAATCTTTCATTATTTGAGTTTCTGCTTTTAATACGATGTCGACTGGTGGAAAAGCGCGAATACTGCAGAAACACGCAGACGGCGCGAGCCGAGCAGGGTCTAGTGCGAGCGGTCTGGGGATGAAAAGCCCATTAAAGGAAAATCTCGGACACCCAAGGGTGGCTTAGCTCGCCGAATTTTTTTCTGCCTCAATTTTCAGGAGCCGGTTTAATGGCCAGCGCAGGCGAAAACAAATTTATATCTTAACAATTAAAAACCTTGGGAGAGTTAGGGAGAACTCGAAACAGATGTAGGAAAAAAATCGGTTGTTCATTCCTGTTCTTCCAAACTTCTACATGTGTTCCTATTTTACAATTACATTACGAGCCCGAGTTCCTACAAGAACTATTTAAATGGTAGCTGGCTCTATGAATCTTCGTTCATAATTCAACAAGTCCCCCACTGAAGGCATAAATTATGCAACACGTGCCCAGCGCGGGAAAACGCGCGAAAGCCAGATCGCTTCTGATTAGATGAAATGAAAGCACCTTTTCACTTTTTGCGTTAGGATACAGAGGCCATCAGGTCGGCGCATATCCCTAGTTTCTGTAACATGAAGTGATTAAGAGTATTTCCCCACCCCACCTTGGATGGGATACGAGTCCTCTAAAGGGTTACCCTAAGTGTAGTTAATAGAGGGGAATGGGTCCCCTCTATTAACTATGCCCAAAGCATTAAATTTGCTGGTAAAATACATACAAACTTATCAAGTTATGAACAATACACAATTAAAGATACCAGACAAATATATGAACTATAATTCTTTGTAATAATTTGAACTTGAATATGAATTTCTTTACAACTTCAACCCTAAACATTGTAACAGAAACGCTCGATTTTACACGGGAACATTAGAAGTTGCAGTTACAACTTAATCGAAGTTAATTTGACTACAGAAAATGTCGACTTAACTTCTCTTGAATTAGATCAAAACGAGAATTCTAAATACCGTAACCTTGTGATGTCACTCACTAACTCAATCCCGGAATGCCCTGTGGCACCTAGGGCCTAACCTTGTGATGTAAAACGCAGTAATTTGATATCACGAAGGCATTCAAGATCAATAGTTTCAACAAAAACAACCGAACAGTAGAGCTAGAAAAACATTTCAGTTCTTTGCTTGCACTGCTAACATGATAGAGTTCCTTAGGACAAATCTACTGAAAGTTTCAGATTGTTAAAAGTCAATATGAATATCTACAGAATTTGCCTCTTTGTCTTCGCTCCACAACACTAGTTACGGATGGCTTAGTTTGGATTGTACGCTTTCATGTGCTGTCTAAAGAGCGTCTTCTTACAGGGTGCTCTGAATCAAAGTTGTTCGCAGATTACTCTTTAAGTGATCCTCTCTCATACTTGGCTCCTGAGGGAGACAAAGTGAGAATC